GCACGCCCTAGCAACGGGGGGATGATTGCCGTGGATTAATCTGAGCGATCTTGCGGCGCGATGTGTGAGCGTGGCGCATCTGCGAAGCCCTTTCGGAGCGGGCGCGAAAGGGCGCAGACTGCCTCGGTTGGTGGTCGATTGCGGTCGGAACGCGGTGTTTGGGCGCAGTCTGCTGCCCGATGACGGCTGCTCGGAGATCGGCGCACAGAATCTTGGACAAGCAGACGGTCTTGGCGAAACAGGCGACGCTAGACTCCTGCTCTTTGGGGTCTGAATTGCTGCCCATGAAAAAGCTGGCTCTGGGCGGTGGCGAATCTTGGCGATGGGGCTGTGGCTGCCGCCTCTTGGTGCGCGCCAGCGCTGCCGCCGGCTTGTGGAAGACATCCGGGTGGAGGATGTTGGGTTGGGATGTGCGTTTAGCGAGGAGTTCTTGGGGCAGATGCAGCGTCGATGACATTGTGGTGTTATCGATGACATTTTTGTGGCTGCGCAGAGATGAACGTGGAGACAGTGGTGTCAGAGGGGGGAATCGAGGCGCTGGTTCCCTACCTGGCTTTGGCTCCAGAGACACTGGATCGACCGGATGAAGACTGGACTGGATGGACGTGAGTGCAAGGATCCTGTCATCTGCGTTTGTGCTTGTATGCTGAATGGCATTTTGGAAGCCGAACAGGACAACAGAATATGTTGGGTCCTTTCCTGCTTTGCATCGCTGTAGGGACCACCAACTAGACTGAACTGACATTCAATGCATTCATGTGCAGCAAGGAAACCCCCCCGCCATGTGACCTTTCATCGACTTCAGTTTCTTAAAATAACAATAAAGCTCCGCTCGCTTCGCTCGCTGGCAAAAATCCAGTAGTGGTATATCTGATAGAAGAACAGAATAGTGACAGTATGACTAATTGTCATGAAAACAGATTTTCAACTAACCTTTTGTGCATAAGCACAGTGACCCCACAACAAAATAGTTCAAAGGTAACGGAACAACAACAGAACAGAGTGATGAAAGAATAATGTATGACAACAGGAAAGGTAGCAGAACATTGTGTGCATATGCGTTGCTAGGCCCTGCAACTTTTGTCCTTACCCCACACCAGCGAATCACCAAACATGCCCGCAGCCTCGATGTCATACCTTGACCAGGGTCTGTGCCGTCCATCTGGTGTTGAACATGCTGGCCTGGCCTGGTCTGTACATGAGCTTAAGCTTCATTTGTCAGCTTGTTGTCCTGTTGCAATGTCGAATCGCCAAGGCCGGTAGAAATCGCCAGAGATCTTCTTTTCAACACCGAGAAGCCAAGTCATGAAATGTTGTGTCTATCTTTTACGCATCACCATTACATAAAGTCAGCCATTATCAGCGCGAGCTGAATGTACCTCCACAGCTCGCAACTTCACAAAGACATCGTGTTAGCTTCACCTGACTGCTCAGTTCATGCCTGGGACATACTTCTGCGAGGCTGGACAAATTCTTGTTGGCTGTAAGTTGCAGATGTGGCCAGCTATTGTCCCTACCATGCACTGTTCCAAGGCACATTTGCTGGTGCATCTTGAGCTTCTTTCTCCCCGTTTTTTTTGTGGCTGCCAAGTCCCAAATCACATGGACCCCTCTGCCAAGGGCTGCTGTCCAGCTCTGTGTCCAGAACAATCACACAAAAAGAGCTGAACTGGTCATGCAACAGAAGCAACTTTCCAAATCGCAGTGTTGAATGTTTCTGCAGTGCAGTGACAAGCAAGCAATGAATGGTAAGGCTTTATCCAGCTGGGATAACATGCTGAGCGAAGCCAACTTTGCAGAGGGTTGTTTTTCTTTTGCTTGGGATGCATGCATTCAGCCTGTCAGGGTGGTCATGTCACTGGAACCCCGTCAGTTCGTATTAGTGGACGTTGCCGTGCAACATGTAACTGTAGCTGCACCCTGACTCTGCTATCTCAATCTCAGCAGTGCTGAATTTTGCAGTGCTCACCAAGATATACTGCTGCAAAGATCAACAAGCTGCAGTTTTCCCTGGTGGTCGTACCATTTGTCAACCTGTCTGGCTGAATCTCTGTGGGGTTTGGACTTAACAGCGCTGACGAAGCTGCAAAAGAGGCCTGCTTCATACTCGGCCTCCTTGCCACAAAGACCGAATTCCAGCAGCGTATTGCCGACTCCGGCACACTTGCAGAGCTCATCGTGCTACTCAAGCTGCATCAGTCCTCACCTCCCCCTGGCTCACTGCACAACCCTGTCAAGAGCGCTGGCGTCGCGCGGAGGGCAGCAGACGCCATAACCAATTTGGCCCATGAGAATGTGTATGTGAAGAACTTTGTGCGGCAGATGGGGGGCATCTCGCCTTTGGTAGCGCTGCTGGAGTCCTGGGACGTGAAAGTGCAGCGGGCGGCAGCCGGCGCTCTGCGCACACTGGCGTTCAAGACAGAGGAGAACAAGGCCGAGATCGTCCAGAATGGTGCTCTGGAGTTGTTGATAAGGATGCTGTCGTCTGAGGAGGCAGGGGTTCGCTATGAGGCAGTTGGGGTGATAGGCAACTTGGTGCACTCATCGGGGCACATAAAGAGGCAGGTGAGCATATGGTGTCACCATTGGACTCAGGTTGGATGGTGTGCCCAACTCCTGTTGCAGGTGATCAGTGGTACAACACAGTGGCACAACAAAGCGTTATTTCATCAATCCAGAAAAGAACATTCCGGAACTGCAGACGAAGAATATTCGAGAGAACACTGTGCCATTCGTGGTATGCATGCACTGATTCCAGTCTGAGTAAAGAGTGAGGTGCATGAATGGGACACCCTATTGTCCAGACATTTTTCAAATGGCCAGCCATGGCAAGAGATGCCCTGGCAATGTTGAGCTGTGGAATGGGTGGTTATAATGGATATGCATAATCATCTATAATAGAATTACTGTAGAATGCAAATCACAGTGGCTACGATCAGGCCTTCCTCCTGAAGCCACTGGCATCAAGCTGTCGACACCTGTACCACCTGTATCACACATGGGCACGTCTGTATCTCACAGCATGGACAAATGGAAAACAGACACTATTCTCAATACAGCAGGAAACTACCGAGCAACATCGGCTGGTCGAAAGAATGCAGTGCTCAGTTGCGATGCCTTGGCAGTGCAACAACACATGCAGGGGAACTTTTCAATCAAGTGTGAAACCAAGCCACAGTGTGCACGCGCATGGGCATCTGGTCCCATGGTTCACAGCCAATTGCCCGAAGCAATGCTCAACTCCAGTGTGCCAATCTTGCTAGCAGTACCCCATTTGTGCAATCCAGCTTGACCCATGCCCATCCACACCAAGGTGGTGTAAGTGGTATGTTCACACACATAGTTGGGTAGTCTGTCACATTTTAGTCAACTAGCATGTGTGGCAGTTGATAGGTATTCTCAGCAGCTTGCTTATCCCCTGAAATACGAACAAGGGCTTGCATGGTGGATAATGGGGGGTTTCTGACATGCTCTTTCCTGATTTCACTGAACACTACTGCATCCCATTATTCAGTGCCCCTGTGCAGAAAGGCCATCTTTAGTAACCTTTAGTTCAGTGTGCACCTCCAGACAACTTAGCCCTTTGTGCCACCTTCAGGTCCTTGAGGCTGGTGCCCTGCAACCAGTGATCGGCCTCCTGAGCTCCCCCTGCAACGAGAGCCAGAGGGAAGCTGCGCTACTGCTGGGCCAGTTTGCGACTGCGGACCCAGATTACAAGGTCAAGATCGTGCAAAGGGGCGCCGTGCCCCCCCTCATCAACATGCTCACATCCAACGACACCCAGCTGAGGGAGATGGCGGCATTTGCGTTGGGCCGCCTGGCCCAAAACGCAGACAACCAGGCAGGTATACTGCACTCCAACGGCCTGAAACCCCTGCTGGAGCTCCTGGAGTCGCGCAACTCGAGCCTGCAACACAATGCAGCATTTGCGCTGTATGGGCTGGCAGACAACGAGGACAACGTATGCGAGATCATCAAGGAGGGGGGCTACAGCCGGCTCATCAACGCCGACCTGATTGTGCAGGCCTCAAAGGTGAGTGCTGTGCTCAACCGTTGTCTAATGGGGAAGACTATGGGTACCCTTTTTGCTTTCGTTGATTCCAAAATGTCGCATCATGGTGAAGTCCATCAGGTAGCACTTTCTGGAGTGTGACAAAGGACTGCCCTGGCAAGACTGGCATGGTTATGCCAAGAATAGCATGTCATCTTGATACCCATGCCATGTTCATTGTGGATGATTGTGTATTGTGTGATGCTGTTGTGCATGGTATTATCATGTTGTAGAATATCCTGTTGTGTTGTGACAGTTCTGCCCACAACGTTTATGCAGGAATTCTTTATCAATTCCGAGCTTGGGCTAGTGGGCACAAGGATTGTTGCTCTGGAATGCATGGCATGTCTACGAAGTCAGGGGGTGGCAACAGCTGTTCGCAATTCCTTCTTTTGCCATATCATTATTTGCCTTTATTTTGTGGATGTTCCTTATTTGTGTAGTTGCTGACTTCTTTATTCATTTATTTGTTTATTTGTTTACTGTTTTGATAATAATACGCAGCACAATGGAAGGCAAGGGGTTGCATACTCCCTTTGTTTGCAAAGACAAAGGCACACACCAAACAACCCTGGCATGAACCATACCTGATGGGCTGTTATGTTGAAGAACAGTCCTGGTGGCTGCAGTCCTTGTTGATGAGCACGCCCACGATGGCCTCAAGCCCACATGGCATGCTGCCTTCAAGAAAGTCTGCCCTCCTTGCAGCACACAAGCCTGTCAAAGCCAAGATTCTGTCAATCGTCGTCGTTACGTTTTTAATTTTTGACTTTGTCAAAACGCGTTATATCTGCGGGTGTCTGTATGACAGGACTGCGTTCAGAAGACCATCAAGCGCCTGGAGGAGAAGCTGCACGGCCGCGTGCTGGGCCAGCTGCTGTACCAGATGCGCTCCCCAGTGCCCCTCATCCAGCAGCGCATCGCTGCCTCCCTCGCCCGCCTCGCCCCCCCCAACTCCCTCAAGCTCATCTTCCTTGACCACAAGGGCCTGGATGTGCTGCTGGACATGCTGATGCAGGGCCAGGATGACAACTACGTTCCCAGCGAGGCGGCATCCTCACTGTTCGAGCTGGCCACCAAGATTCGGAACACCGCCCCAATGGACGCTGCCCCGGACCAGCCAGGCAAGTCAGTGTACCTGGGTGAGCAGTACGTCAACAACCCCACCCTTGCTGATGTCACATTCTTAGTTGAGGGCCGCAAGTTCTACGCCCACCGCATCGCCCTGCTGGCCTCGTCTGACGCTTTCAGGGCCATGTTCAACAGTGGGTACAAGGAGAAGGAGGCACGCCACATCGAGATACCTAACATCGGCTGGTCGGTCTTCGAGGCCATGATGCAGTACACCTACACTGGGCAGGTGGAGGTGACGGAAGACATAGCCCAGGAGCTGCTGCGGGCGGCCGACCAGTATCTGCTGGAGGGGCTCAAGGGACTGTGCGAGGAGGCCATTTCAGACTCCATCAACGTGGAGAACTTGGCGCGGATATACAGCCTGTCGGAGGCGTACTCCGCGCCGCAGCTGGGCATTCGGTGTGTCCTGTTTGCGTTGGAGGACTGTGAGCAGTTGGTGGCAAATTTGGGGCAGCCGGAGTACTTTGCCCTGATGGAGAGGATGGTCCCCCAGTTGAGGGCGTCACTGACTGACCAGTTGTTGGCGAGCGAGGAAGAAGCCCAGATGGCCAACGGAACGCTGGACTAGTAGTTGAGCGCTGGGATTGCGAGTTGTGGCAGTGGCATGTTCCACCGGCCGAATGCAGCCATGGTCTGCTGCCTGGCAATTCATGGCATGTCCCAGCCAGGGCACAGTGCATTAGGAACATTTGTGCGCAATTGCCCAACCGCACAAATCCCCTAGCCATTGGTGGCACATGTGCGATGGGCGCTTAAGCGGCATCGCTGTTGTCGATGGCATGGTTGGTGGCATGATTGTGACTGGAGGGGCGTTGGGCAGCACAGGTGGCACGAGACAGTGCAGGGTGGCTGGTGCATGGAGCCCTCATGGCAAAAATGTGAAACTGCCCGATGGAGCACATGGGCGGGTGCAAACGCCCAAGAATGTTTCGCCACAGACTGCGCTTGTCACAGTATATCAGAGTTTGCCGAATCCCACAAACCGACACAGGGGGGATGGCAATCTGGGGAGGGCAATCAAGTGAGGTGCAGTCTGTGGACTTGGACTTGTCTGTGGACTTGGGATGGCAGGCAACAACTCCAATGAACAAAACACTCGGAGGTCATTCAGTGGATGCTCTGATGATCTCTTCGAGTGTGAGGATCAGCTAATCTCTTTAAACACCAAGATCAAATGATGTACTGAATATAAGGACTGGATGGTCTATGTAGATCTCCAGCCGGTGGATGTCTCTGGTGTGTTCAGTGGTCACAAGAAACATGGCACACATTGAGCTACAGGGCTCTGTCCTTGGCAAACACTATCAAAACACACAACTAAGTGCTATTGTCACTGGCTTGTGACAAGACACACTGTCCTGAATCCTAAACAGGGGATGAGTGCGTCCCACCCATGGTATGATAGATGCTCCAGATGGCGGCCAATCCAAACAGAACAGCAGCACTGGGGAAACACACAGGGCTCCATGCAAGCAGGCACCATTCCCACCCAACCCTCACGGATGAGGAGCGGCAGGAAATAGGCTAACTTTTTGGTCTTGAATTCAGAACGCTGTATCTCATTTAGAAGTCCGAACATGCTGTCTGATCACGTGGTCTGTTTCAGCACATGCCACAATTATACTGTGGCATAAATACTGTGACAATAGTCACGAGCAGAACACACCGTATTTGCGATGCCTAATGTAATGCCATTTTGACACTAAGTTGTGCCAACACAGCGATTGTGATGGCAATAAAATTAGTGGCGATGGCATCAATTAGCGCCAAAAGCCATCGAACTTACCATCTCAATAATGTCGCTTTCCATCAGTGAATGTACATGGTTACGGGCAATGGATGGATGCCTTGAGTCATATGACTCTGGACTCGGAACGAGATTTCTCACTTATTGATAGTTTTGAGAGGAGCTGGTTGCTGGACATTGAAGTGGAGAGACAACAGCCCACATAATAGCTGGAACGCCCTGGCCCACGTCCCTGACGCACATCAGGGCATTCTATTTCATTGCGTGGATCCCTGGATTTCGCTTTGGCAAAATGGCAATGCAGCATTTATCATCATCATCAACATCCATGGAGTACATTTATCACAAAATGACAAAACACAGCCCGTGCACCTGGTAGGCGATGATGCGCATGAAAACCAAGCAGATAGTGTGTTCGAAATCGATTATCCAGCACTTGTCAAATGTACAAGAAACACAAACCCGCAATAAAAACAACTCGCAGGGCCTGAAGGCAACTTGGTTATGGGTAGGCACATGACTGAAGCAGTCAATCTGCACTGCATGCAGTCAATTCGCTGGGCGGGAATGCAATCTCTGAATTGAACGGTTAGTCCACGCGGGGCGGCACAAACCTTAGTCACGTTTCGCACTATTGACTCACAATCGCATCAGCAGGAACTGTGTGTGCTGGCACACCCGGCCCCTCAACATTCGCCAACTCCCAAAATCCCAAGAACAAGGCAAAACGTTGCAGGATTCGCAAGGCAATGGGCAACACAATGAGATGCTCTGGACCGTTGCATGCGCCAATTGACACAAAACCAAAATGTTCTCGGCAGGGAGAGGGTGGCGCTCAGAATTTGAGCTCAGATGCCATTCTGAACCACAAACGCTGCACGTTTTCAGGAAAGAGTGGTACTACCTGTGTTCCGGGCAAAATGATGGTTGGGCTGTAGTACCTACCTCGTGTGAGAGTTGCCCAGAATGCAGTTCTTGCTCGTGCGCCACTTTGTGCTTATCCAATTCTCAGCGGGGGTACGCACGGTGCTTCATTTGGCTGTATATACGTTTGACACAATCTTCAAACAATCCACAAAGAACAACAAGGAACCCAACTCGTGCGCGAGATGCCCGTAATTCAATTGCAGAGGCGAAAGCTGCAATATGCCAAGCCTTACACACCCTTTTGTAATCTCTGGCAGCAGGGTTCTCAGATTCTGAGTAGGTGTATCTGGGTGCAGGCTATGAATAGGCGCTTATTAAAACGAAGGCAGCTGTTTCGACGGAGCGAAGTAGGTTGCCCCATTGTATTTTCCGATTCCCCATGTGCTCAATTGTCATGTGTCAGTTCGCTTGGCATGCGCTGAGCCGGACAGTACTGTCCACTAGTGTTACTCAGATTCAGCTTCGAAAAATTGCTTATGCAACATACATTCATTTGTGAAAACGCAGTCAAACCAGGCGAACGTCGAGCGGAGCTCAGTTTCAATGACTAGTACACGATTTCCATCGATGTCGCGCCGTTGAAACTCGGACAAAAAAATTGCGCGAAATGCGTGCATTTTGGCCGGGCGATGCACGGCGGCTGGCTGGGCACCAGAGCATAGCGGACCCATCGATCGCCATGCTCGGGGTGCCGCGCACAACAGCTGGCGCAAACAGCTCCAGAACTGCCTTCAGTTGAAATCCAGAATGCCATTGAAATGCGTCGAGAAAGGTAGCCTTGATGTGACACAGTGGGCCTTCTTCAAACCCGGTTTGCAACGCATTGTTGGAAAAAAGAGCGTGGGTATCAAATGCCCCTCACACTCCTCTCTCACAATCCAATCAAGCTCGACACTTGGCTCCCCCGCTCCGACCAAAAAAGGCGGGAAGCCAGGCCCCCCCGAGGGCAGTTTTCAAGCTATTCTTATTTCTGATGATTTGATGCTTCACCAACTCTGAAATGGACAGGCTACATTGGCATTGGGATGTTCTCCCCCTCGCATCTGCCTCGCCTAGCCCTGGGACTCCTGCTGAATCGGCTTAAAGGTGGAGGGAGAGCGGCGTTCTGCCCCGCGATGTTGTTGCAACACAATCTGACCCAGGCGGCAAGAAAAACGTAACAAGGGCGTTCCCTGACACGCCACAGAAGTTGTGAAAACGACGTTCCGTAAGGTGCTGCGCGAATGATCGGACCGCAAGTAGGACAAAACATGGTAGGACAAATAATGCCACAAACTAGGACAAAGAAATTGGACAAAAAAGCTATGACGGGCTTCCCCAGCTTCGCGCCAACTATTCATCCCCTCCCTGCCCACGGCACCCTCCCCAGCCCAGTGCCACCCGGGCCTCCGCATAAAGGCCCGCCCTCCGCGCCCCCTCCCCCGCGCCATGGACGGCTACACCGGCTGGACGCAGATCGGCCAGGGCACCTACGGCAAGGTCTATCGCGTCTTCGACGCCGCTGGAAACCCATTTGCCATCAAGAAGACCCGATTGAAGGTACCCCCCCACCTCGCCCCCCACCCCCCGCCCCCCCCCTGCACTTGCGTTGTACGCTCGTTACTTCGCATCGGAGACTCCATATCATCTTTCCGCAGCATGGAAAAGAAACTCGCATACACTTGCTTAGGAGGGGGCGCTCTTTGTATGAACTGTTTCTTTCTCTCTTTGTAGCAAATCCCCCAAACCCCAACCCCCCCATCCACCCACCCACCTACACAAACACACCTCTCTCCATTCCCGCCCCTCTTTACCCATTACGCTCGCTCAAACCTGCTTATACGGGCACCCCCGATTGCTGCTTCTCGCCCTTCGTGTTGCTTGTGTCGTGCTTGTTTATGCCTGCCCCTCTTCTTGCACCGGGGAGTACACGTCGCCATTCCACAGCATGGAAAGAGTCTCGCACGCTTGCTCACCAGGGTGGGCCTTGCATCACCTGTTCCCTCTCTCTTTGCAACAAACCTGGCAACGAAATGCAGCAAGCCTTCTCTTCTCGTTTGTGACAAACCCCAATCCGCGATCAATCCCGCAATCAGCGATCGCATCGAATTCTCGGCCAATCGGCTCTTCAGCACGATCGATACATGGCGGCTCGATCCGCCTGCATGAGTCGATGGCTCGTGGTTGACGGGGTTTGGGCGATTGCACCTGTTCGGTCCGGCAGGGGCACGATGGCGTGCCGCCGACCACGCTGCGAGAGGTGTCGCTGCTGCGGAAGCTCAGCCAGGGACCCAACATTGTGAGGTGAACAAACATGTGCATTCTGTTTGTGTGTCGAAATACACAGAGTGGGATACTAGAGGACCCAAAAGAAAACCTACTCACGGAGACCCCAAGGAGTGCCCCCTTCCTGACCGTTTGTTTGTGTGTGTGTGTGTGTGTGTTTATGGGTATGTGTGTGCACACGTATGCCTATACGGGTGGGCCTGTGTATTTTGTTTTGAATTCCAATGTATTACATGTTGATCTAAGCAAGGAGCGCCCCCGCAGAACGTAAAGCACAATGGGATCCTTTTCCAAGATGAGCCGATGTAGGGTCCCAAACAAGGAGATAGAAAAAGAGAGTATCAGTGTTCGCTAGTGCTCAATATCCATGCGGAGAGTCCTAGTCATCTGAGAAAATGTCAGAATGGAGGGAAAGAGTATGTCAGATCATGTCCCAAATATCCCAGAATGTATCGAAATGTCCCAATATATCCTGTGTTTGTTGTCCCGTCTAACTTCCAGCATCGATCATAACACTGTCAACGCTGACAAAAACCTCTCTCAATGTTAAATACATACCCACCTCAAAAACTTGGCCAGGAAGAATCGCCCCAGTCCAAAATGATAAGCCCAATTCCAATCACCGTGTT